TACCAACAAATGACTCATCTTTGTGACTCTTTTTGGTAGCAATTTTTTTTTACAAAAGGGAATGTTAACCAAACTTTTAATTTCATTAGTTTATGATTTTACCATCACGATTTTTACTTCTTTTCAACTTTTAAAAATTACAATACTGGGGTCCCGGATCTTTTCAGTCTAGTGGGCACATTTGAAAATCTGATAATAGGTTGAGGCAGAGGAGGTATTCAGCAGGTTCTGACCAGTTCTGTAGAACCAGTAGCGGAAATTTTGAGTAGATTGGAGAACTGGTAAATACCACCTCCGACTGGCCCTGCACCCATCTATTCTCTGCCTCCCGAGTCCCAGCTGGTGGGGAGGAAATGAGTATTTTGCAGTATCCTTCCCCTGCCATGCCCACTAAGCCATGCCGCATCCACCAAGCCACAGAACCGGTAGTAATTTTTTTTAATCCCACCCAATTAACAGTCCATTGAGGCTGTTTTTAAAGAATAGCTACTATGGAACTTCTCCCCCCCCTCCCCATTCACAAAGTACCATAATAGCCATGGGAGGAATAACCAATTTAATGGCTGCTTTCTCTTGCTCCCCCCCTATTTCAAAATGCTTCCGACTAGCTTGCTTATCTTTGTCTTTTCCTGGACAGGTAGATATCATTCCAAACAAAATGCTGTTCTCTAATCAACCATTCATTTTTATTTTCTATGAAAACTGATTGGATGTTTTTGGCAATCAAAGGCATTATTGCGAAAGAGTTACTGCTGCTGCTGCTGCTTCACAGTGTGACATCTTCCTTTTAACATCATCAGCATGTTTAAAAATGAAAATCTCAAATAGGAAGAAACGTGGTGGATACTGTATGTATCTACTGGCACATTGGCACGGGCAATACTGTTTCCTTCTCAGATACTATTGTATTTATGTCCAGCTACCCTATATTTTAATAGTAACAAATCTGATCTTGTCATGCAAAAACTTAGGTACTTTGTGAAAATTTCTTAATTGTAGTTACCTGGCAAATGATTGCCCGTGTTTCAATAAACAGAATAATATTTTCCCTTAGTTTTCTCGGTTTAAAGAGATTTTCCACTGGCGTGTCTTTCTAAAAAGAGAGAATGGATTCAGGAACAATTTCCAAAGGAATGTATTTTGTAGTGTGAGAGTGATATCCAAAAGTACTCATTTCAATGTACCCAACAAGCAAAAGGGTTTTTTTTTAAAAAAGATGCATCTCTGCAGGAGACATTGAAATGAGTACTTTTGGATATCACTCCCATTCTACAAAACACATTCCTTAGGAAATAGTTCTTGAACCTATTCTCTCTTTTTAGAAAGACACTTCTTTCAAGCAAAACTCTATAAACAATTTAATTTATGTCTTTAAAAAAGAGACATTAAGTATCTATGATTACTAGATGCTATAATCTGCATATGTGAATGTTAGCATGAGAAGCTAGTATTAAAACACACAAAATGTGATGATGTTAAGAAGGGTTGGGAGGGTTAATAAGTGTTTGGGTGAGGTATTTTCAGAAAGATCAGGATTGGATGCTTTGAAATCTAACTGAGAAGAGGAATAGGGTAGAAAATAAATTGGATGATTATATAACAAAAGCTCTTTCTTTTATTAGTACACCCAACTTATGAACTCTGATCAAAGAGTTCCTTCATAAACAAGCTGGTTTTTTTTATTCCCACTGTTTCTTTCTTCATTGCCTGAAACAATTTGTTGTGGAGCTGATGATCTTCAACCTAAGTCCCACAATTTTATAAAACAGTAACCAAAACCCTTCATCCTTTTGGCTAAAGATCTCTGAGGAACCTCTTCCAAAATATGCAGTTATGAAAAATATTAACATTTTTTTCAGCCCCACAGAGACAGCACATCAGACTTCTGATTTCTTTTTTTAGAAAAAGAAATAAGAGGGAAAGAAAATCACATTAGTAACTGATCTTGCAAATCAAAATAAATCCATGCTTGTCTGGCACTCCAATGTACTAACTCAGCATTTCGGTTGGGGATGGGTTACTTGTTCTTGCATATTTGGCTCCATGCTTTGCCAAAGCCAAATCAAGCTATAAAGCAGCTTGCAGTTTATTAAAACAAGAACAGGGAAGAACACAAGCTTTTTAGTATGGAATGGCATTATCAAGCATTTTCTATTATAAAAATATGGAACGGGTTACTGTAAAACAAACAGAAAAATGAAAACTTGCACCCAACTTCTTTTAACCTTTTGTATAGCCACAGCTAATTTTTTATAATTAAAATAGGAACCAGAAGTTCATTCTCCTCCTCCCCTCCCCCATATTCTTCACTAAAAGAAAATAAATAGTTCTGGGCTACCAATGATTTACACCTATGATAGATGCACAGATAGTCCTCAAGTTCCAATCATTCACTTGTAACCGTTTGAAGTTACAATAGACTGAAAAAAGGGACTTACAACTGGTCCTTGCACTTAGGATTGTTGAGGCATCATTACAGTCACATAATCAAAATTTGGGCACTTGAAATTTATGATGGCTACAGCATCCTGAGGTCAGGTCACCATTTGTGATCTTCCCAGCCAGTTTCTAACAAGCAAAATCCATGGAAGAAGCTAAATTTGCTTAATGATTGTGTGTTTCAGTTAATAATTGGAGCGATGTGCTTAAACAAGGATAGCAAAAAAGGTCATAAAATTAGCTGGGACTCATGTAACAACCTCCTTACTTAGGAATGGAAATTCTGGTCTGAATTTTGGTTGTAAATTGAGGACTTCCTCTACACCCTTGAGAAAGGCAAATATAATTATTTTATTCTGCACTCTTCAATTCTGACAACTAGGAAAGGACAATGCATTGAGCCATGGTGGTTTGTAAACCAATGGGGATTAATAAGCATAATTCAAAGTTTAGCATGAGGCATGAATTCCATCACTGTGGCTATAAACCAGGGCTAATGTTTGTAAATAACTACAGACTGAGAAAACAACTACAGGTGGAGATTAGTATTATTTATATCTTCACATATTTGCTTAGAAAATCTTCTTTGAGAAGGTTTAGGTTTTAGGTTTAGGTTTATTGGATTTATATGCCGCCCTTCTCCCAAGGACTGAGATTGGCATACAACATAAAAGAAAACACATATTACAAAAATTAAAAGGGACATTAAATAAAGTATCCAAAAAAAAACCAATTGATATTTACAATAAAAATTTAAAAATTAAATTAAAATTAACAACCAAATTAATCATTTATTTTATTCTATTCAGGCCAGGCCGGCTTGCTGGAAAAAACCAACTTTTATAATTATTTTAAGATGACTGTCCATTCAATATCCATCTCAAGCATTGCTTGTGAACAGAGGCTCAGAGATTTCACGGTTTGATCTTTGTCAAGCAGGTATAGCAACTATTTTCAATCGAGACTTTTCTCCTAGGTGTTTAAAACAATACTAATAAAAATTACTCTCCTCCTTTGTTTCTTGTTTTAGAAACCAACTTTATGGGCCACAACCTTAAAAGAAAAAAATC